ACCATAAAATTAATTTTAGCACCCTGTTGACAAGCAAATAGATCTTTGCATTTTCCGCTTCGGTTTTGATAGCAATAGAGATTTTTCTTACCCTAATATATCTAGGGATTTGAGATAAGGGAAGAAACTGCATTTTTACTCGGTCAACGCTTCTGCACAGACTATAATGCCCTTGATATTTGGTCGTGCATCTCACTTGATGATGCTTCCGTCAATCTTAACTGTTGGATTTGACAGAAGGGTCACGAATATGTTCTTTTATTAGATCAAGAACCAAAATTTTACCGTTAATTGTTGGAGGGCTAAACTTTATTTGAAAAAAAGTTGAAGGGCCATTGGGATTTTTTTCCTTTTCCCAAATTAGATTATATCCAAACAGTGGCAAATTAGGAAAACGTTTTCGAGAAAATGTTTTCCGTCCAACTAAACAGACCCTAAGTTTCATCTTTGCAATCTAGCCCATACAATTTTCTGAGGGGAAAAAAAAACATAAATTCTGCATGTCCAACAGCGCGTTTTAGTGGCAATGTAAGTAACTTCAGGCTTACCTTTAAAAATCACAAAAAAAAACTAATACAAATAAAAAAGGGATATTGATAACCATATTGATGATATAGATACTTATCACTTCATCATATAGATCCTTATCAGTTCATCATGTATATGTACTCATAAATACAATTGGAATTCTGCAAGGAATGAAATTCATTGGATTCCAAGTTCTTTATATTTTACTAACAACTAATTTGCCATACTTTTTCAGGCTTATAATTGGAATCGAGCAATCTAAGTCATTTTCCAAATATAACATGGTCATAGTAAAATTACTCTAAAATATGTTTTCAGATAAATTATAAGAACTCAAAAAACGGAAGAACAAAAATAAATGGACTAAAACTCAAAACCAAAGAAGAGGGAAAAAAAATGGAAACTCAAGAGAAATATCTTAAAGTGACGTTAGTCGGCCTTAAGAAAAATTAGAAAGATGATTGATTTCCAAGAAGATACATATTCTTTTCCTTCAATTACAAGATACATATTCCTTTCCTTTTGTGATCCAATTACAGAGGAGATAATATTAGGCTTCCAACTATAAATATCTACATAAAGCAGAATTGCCTAATAAATCAGGAAACCTCAATCTTTTATTCTTTCAGTAAATTTTCTGGAAGGGTTTCAACTTTCGCTTTCAAAGATCTCAACGTAAGTGATGTCACGCTGTCGCCTTCTCTTCTTCGTTTTTTTTTTTATTGTTTTCTTGCCTTCTATGTATGGTAACGTGTGTCACAAAATTTTTTTCCTAAAACCCTATTGTTTGCATTTTTTTTCCTGAGTTTATGAAATAGATAGTTTAAGCCCAGGATTGAAGCTTTTGTGGAATTTTTTTTTTACTTTTCCTTTTTAGCTATTTTTGAAGGGTTTTTATGTTCGTTAATATTTTAAAATATATGGTTGTTTCTTCTAGTTTGATTATTATTTAGTTTGATATTTGTAATTCTGACTAGGTTGATTTGGTCTAGGTCTGAAATTTTCTGGCTAAATCAGTGTTGGTTGAGTTTTAATAAGTGAAATTTTGTCATATTGATTATCCCTAAATTTTTTGTGCACTTGAGTGTAGAATATTTGAAGATTTGATGCAATTTTAGTAGTTTTCATTTTGCTTGTACTAGTTTCCTTTCTTTTTGATTTTTTGCCCCTTTCTACTGTTCTCGTTAGTAGAATTTATGTCTTTGGTTTTATCCTTGCAATTGCTTGCCTACTCGTGTGCAGTTGCTTATCTTTCCTGCAAGCATAGTATTATTATGAACTCAATAGTTGTAAAATATCTGATTGATATGTATTATTAGGTTAATTGCGGTCATGAAATCCAGTATTTTAAGATTTTAAAAGTGTGGTTTAAGATTTTAAAAATGATGTCCATCCGCTAAATAAGTGCAATAATGCATCATGATTAAGCTTCATTAATTTATCAATAAGCAAGTATTTTCAACATATTTTGGTTAATAAAGCAAAAGGTTTTATTGACAAATAACCGAAATATCATTGAACAAATTGGGCTGGTGCTTGATGCAGTATTACATCTTGATTCGTTAATGTCAATGAATTTGGTACCATCGGCAGGTACGGTTAAATTTTTATACAGTTGCATGGTTGTTGTATTTCATACATAATTTGGTGTATGCTTATATAACATTATTATGCGTATAAATTTTATTTGCGGACACAAACTCAATGTATAAATAAAACCATATGTATAAAGATACATCAAAATCAAATTTTGAAAGAAATACAACAACTGTACAGAGTCGCACCAAACCGAATGGAATTGTACCTGTCCCAATCCCATGAATTTGTAACGTCCTAACATAGTTCAGCTTAACTGGCTTGATGTAGATGCTTAAATTTTGGAGCATTTCATGTGATTTAGTTCAATGTTTATGTATGTTTATTGTGCCTTAGTTGATATCTTGGGACACTATTGACCATTGCAAGAATTCAATACAGGAAAAATGTATCGTGTCGCGAAGGCATCTGAGTTTCTGGCCATTACTGGTGCTTCCATTAATGACATCAAGATCACAAAGAAGGCAATTGTCTGGCCATTGCAGAAATGCAGAGTCATAGATGTGACTCCAGTTAACTACACTTTCGAAGTCAATGCAATGAGTGCTGAGAAGCTACCCTTCCTCCTCCCTGCAGTTTTCACAATAGGTCCAAGAGTTGATGACCATGACAGCCTTGTTAAGTATGCCAAACTTCTTTCTGATCATAGTCACGATTCTCATAATGTCAAGGAGCTCGTTCAAGGTGTGATCGAGGGAGAAACTCGTGTTCTTGCTGCATCAATGACCATGGAAGAAATCTTTAAAGGCACCAAAGATTTCAAGAAGGAGGTTTTTGACAAGGTTCAGCTGGAACTCAACCAATTTGGCCTCTTGATCTATAATGCTAACATCAAGCAACTGGTTGATGTCAGAGGCCATGAATATTTCTCCTACTTAGGCCAGAAAACTCAAATGGAGGCAGCAAACCAGGCAAAAGTGGATGTTGCTGAGGCAAAGATGAAGGGTGAGATAGGAGCAAAAGAAAGACAAGGTCTGACACTTCAGAATGCTGCCAAGATTGATGCTGAGACAAAGATCATATCGACACAAAGGGAAGGTGAAGGGAAGAAGCAGGAGATCATGGTGAAATCCCAAGTAAAGATTTATGAGAATCAAAGGGAGGCTGATGTTGCTGAAGCCAATGCTCTGCTAGCTACCAAAAAGGCTGGATGGGCTCAGCAGGCAAAGATGGCTGAAGTGGAGGCTGAAAAGGCTGTAGCTATTAGGGAGGCAGAGTTACAAAAAGAAGTTGAGAGGAAAAATGCATTGGCCAAGACTGAGCAACTAAAGGCTGAACAACTCAGCAAGGCTACTGTTGATTATGAGATTAAGGTATTTCAATGTTTTCTCTATGTCCTTTATCAAAAGTGATTTGATCATATCCTGATTAAGCTTTCTTTTTTTACTTGTACTCTTCATAACCTTTGAGATCAGTCTGTGTTCTAAATTATTTGGGGGGCAAGGAAGAAAAATATTGCACCTGCGAAGTCAAAATCCTCTATATATCTTCATCAAGTAGAAAAGTATAGCGGTTGTCACTAATCATACAAGGCTTATTTTTTGATATTTTCTGATAGGAAGCTTCTCCCAACCCAATCCTTGTCTAGTTTGACAATCAAAATAAGCAAGATTTTTAAGCAAGTGTATCATTGTTCTTTGTGCTGCCAGATTTAGTCTGTACGTTTCATTTGACTGGCTCTTTAAAAAAAAATTCCCGTACTCATGTTCCATTAAAAATCAGGTTCAAGAGGCAAATTCAGTTCTCTACAAGAAGCAAAAGGAATCTGAGGCAGTGCTATACGAGAGACAAAAGGCTGCAGAAGCTCAAAAAGTGGCAGCAGAAGCTCAACTGTATGCAGCTCAACAAGCTGCAGATGCGGAACTTTATGCAAAAACGAAAGAAGCTGAAGGAATGAAGGCTCTTGCAGAAGCACAAGGGTTCAAAATCCGCACCTTATTGACATCACTGGGTGGAAACTACAATGCTTTGAGAGATTATCTGATGATTGAAAGTGGCCTGTTCAAGGACATTGCCAAAATCAATGCTGAGGCGATCCAAGGACTGCAACCTAAGATCAGTGTTTGGTCAAATGGAGAGGCCAGAGATGGACCAGGTGCTGCAAATTCTGCCATGAAAGAAATAGGATCAGTTTACGGTGCATTGCCACCTTTGTTCCAGACTGTGCACGAGCAAACCGGTATGTTGCCTCCGGCTTGGATGGGCAGTCTACCTAGTCCTGGTGCAGGCAAGGCTATAACAAACCAGCCAGAGAATTAGATATCAGGACAGTTGCTTCTTATAGTGCAGTTTCTTAGGTGGAGATTTTCCAACAATAAGCTTCCAGACGGTTGCTCATTTCATTGTTCTTGTTAGAAGAATTTACTTGTTATTTTAGTACATATTTGACGAAAATTTTATCACTGCTGGATTACAGTAGAATGGTCATCGATGTCTGATTAAGTTCCTTTTGTGATTTCAATTTATGTTGTTCAGCATTCCCAGTAAGATTGCAGTGCACATTCCATTATTAGCATTGGACATAAGGAATAATGTGCTATAGCTTTGAAAGTTAATTTGAAGTTGTTACTAGATGATAGCAATTTCTTTGCTGCGAGAAATGCAATTTTGATGCACCCCAAAATGTTTGGTTTGTAGTTCCCCAATGTTCGGCTTTTGTCCTCAAAAAAGAAAAAGAAGTTTAATTAACCTTTTAACATTTTTTATTATTAGAATTTATAGTATACATCTAACACAATTTTGGATCTAATTTGAATACTCTTTTGTCATGAACCTCTCAATATTGATATTTGAAACTTAAGGAACTATAATGATTCAAATTCTAACCGTTGAAAACCCAAGATGCAAAGTCAAAACTGTGTTGAAACTGTGTTGGAATGCAGACAGCATGTGAAAAGGGGTACACGAAAGTGATCATTGAAACTGACTCTAAAATGAGTTTAGAGCTCATTGACAAAGCGGCAACGGAGAGCCCCCTTATGGTGACTATCAGCCAAATCCGGAACTTAAGGAAGAGACAATGGCAATGTGAGTTAATACATCAATGGAGGGAAGGTAATATGAGTGCGGATTGGTTAGCTAAGAGTGGATTGAGTCTGGAGGAGAGGGTCCAAGAGTTGGCTTCTCCACCAGAGGAGGTGAGGAAGTGGTTGGCATATGATGTCATAGGCGTTGTAACTCCTAGATTAGTTGCCATGTAATGGGTCTAAAGCCCTCCTACCAGACCAAAAAAAGTCAAAACTGTGAATTAACGGTAACTTGATTTTGACCTTCAATCATTGTTGAATAGATGTTAATTGTCTTAAATTTGCCTAAATCAAAAACCTTAACCACGAATTGTTTTGGTAAATATATTAGAACCGTTTAGTACAATGGCCAAATATTGAAAACCAAAACCGCCTTTTTCCCTATACATCATGACAATGGTAACTATTTTACTTTTAAGCATTTAACTTTTTGAGCCCTAAATTTGCATAAATTGAGTTGCGGACAACTTTGTCTCTGCCAAGGCCAGAATTCTCACTAGCCCGCTCTGTATATATGCAACCAGAGGAGGTAATCATACAAGTGAAAAGCAAAGAAAACAGATTCTATAATGACTCTAGTTCTTGATATCTACTGCATTAGCCTTTTTTGATGAGCTTGGGTACCAATTTCTATATTATGCTCTATCTACTCATCACGTGTAATCTGGTTGAATATTATTTGACAATAAACAAGAAATAATAGATATTGAAAAGATTAAACTTAATGAAACAACACAAAGGCGCCCTTATTAATGTCTAGGTTTTTCAATTGTAATACAACCATCTTTTGATAGATTTTGGACGTTATAAAACAGCAGGTTATGCTTCAAGGTGTTTATTCAATACTAACAATTTCATTAGTAAATGGGCACTAGAAATGATCGGTTATTAGGTACGCATTTGGTTCGAATAAGAAATTTTTAGGTTGAGTTTCAAATCACCAACCAACACATGGTGGTCTATTGTGTGTGTGTGTGTGTGAGAGAGAGAGAGAGAGAGAGAGAGAAGGTCAAGCAAAGTTGATAGTGTTCGAATAAAATTTTGATTTTAAAACTTGATGATTCGATCTAATTGCAAATGTTTTAAAGGTAATTTTATGGAGTTTAACCTAACATGGCCCAAAAGCAAGGATTACGAGATTAAGGCTGGCTAAACCAACATCATTTAAAAAAAAAAAGGGGGGGCGCGGGGGGGGGGGGGGGGTGAGCAAACTTTGGAGTTTCTATTTTTTTTTTTTAAAAAAAATTTTAGTATAAGCGGAAAGGTTTGAATCTGAAATCCCCCACTTACATTCTCTTCCCCAAACCATCAAACTCATCCCTTCCTTCAATTTTAGAGTTTCATTGGAATGATGTTGCTCCAAACACGATCAAAGATTTCCATGCATCTCTCTTTTTATATATAATTTTTGATTGGCAAGCATTATGCGTGGATTTAGTGGTTGTACATAATTTGATATAGGGATTAAAATGGCAAAACAAAAGTAACCAAAAAATTTAACACCAAAAGTTAATGTTTATGTAGATTTTTGTGCATCTCTCTCTCTCTCTCTCTTTTTTTTTTAATAATTTTTTGGTGTGCAAGTGCCATTGGTGGACTTGATGGTTGTATATTAATTATTTGATGAAGGGTAAAAATGAAAAACAAAAAAAAAAGACCAAAAGTTTAGGGTCAATGCTTTATACAGAAAATAAGATGAGATAAGTCTATTTTTTTTTTTAAAGAAAAGTCTATTATTTAGTTGGTCTAGAAATTAATCCTGAAATTATTATCATTTTTTGACATGGCATGGTTTAAATTATACCCAAACAAATGTATCTTTGCACTCAGGGTTAATATAGTACAATTTCAAAATTTTATGGATGAAATTAGTCAAACTAAAATGTTGGAGATCAAAACAAAATACTTAAAAGTTTCAGGAACATTTAACCATTTTCATATTTTTATTCATCCAATGTTGAATTACATATTCGGAACTGTGAAATAATGACTGTGGACATCCCATGGTTCTACTGAGGCCAACTCTCAATGAACGCTTCTCTGAATCCTGGCCATGATGTGATAGCATTTTCCACAATTACAGCAAGCATACCTTGAGGTGCTCATCGGCCGGTGGCAGCCCTAGTTGGGCAAACTGCAAGTAAAGAATAAAGATGCATAGAAATTGGTAATTTGTATCACTATACATGTCGAAATAATTAAATGCAATTTGCATTCACAACAATAATGTAAAAAATGCAAAATTCATCTTCATAAGCTATGTATGTACATGCAATTTAATAAATTTGCCGTGCAGTAGAGTTTCTCTTTCTATAAGGGCTTTAACTTTAATCCCTATAGAAGATATGTACACATGTATGTGGATATGCAAGCAATGGCTGAGTTGTAGGAGGGAATTTGGAAGTAGAAAAGTTGTATAACAAGATTTAGCAAAATCTTAGTCATTGTAAATCTAAGTCATTGCAAAATTTGGCAATAACATTATTATTTTTAGTCTTAACATCGCAATAATATGTGTTAAGAACTTAAAGGACAAAATGTATTCCGAGTAAAATCTATCACAATTATAATGTATTTTTTTTCATCATTTTCAATTGCTACATCCTGGTTAATACGAGAAAATAATCCTTGTTGAAAAAGCAATACCATAAAAATTAGTCAAAATATTTCTAAAAAAAATAAAGAAATCAAGTCTTTTGAGGAAAAAGTCAAGGGAGTGAGGCAAGAAATTTTAACAATATTTTCTCCAGTAAGGGGGTGTGATAAACTGAAAATTAAGTGAAAATTCTACAAAACTGTACAAGTTAAAATTAAATTTCTCAGAAGGGCGACAGCTACCACGCTAGCTCTATCGTAGTTGCTAGGAGTCAAAAACTGATGGGAGCTAAATTTGAAGGCAGGAAGGTGAAATTTAGAAAACTTTTTCTCTTCTAAGGTGATTTCGTGCTCTATGCATCGTATCTTCAATGAAGAATGTAAAATAAGGGTCCATTTACCGAGTTCGCAGTAGGCATTCATTAATATAGAGTTCAAGTATTGATATTTTAAGCAAAAAAAAATTAAATATGAAAAATGTATGAATCTAAAGTGAGTTAATAACTGTTAGTGTGTGCATTCACACATTAGATTACATGTGATATAAATGTACTAACAAGTATTATGCTTAAAAAAAATTATTAACGAATATGTATTAGACATTCGTTAATTAGCAAAATCTATAAAACAAAAAAAGACAATTGTGTTCAGGATCTACATGATACGCACCGTATCTACACCGAAGGGAAGTGTATGTGTATGGTGCTTAGGAATTCCGGTTTCATCCAGAAGCCGATAGTACTCTTCCACATCCGCCAACATCTTTTCTCTGGACGGCAAAGTCACCTGTCTGGACAAAACTTGCGCCACCCACTTGGCTTGTAACTCCATCATACGAAAATTTACGGTCCATTCGTTAAAAAAAATGTCAAAATTAGCTTTCACGTTAGTAAGTTGAAATATTTCATCTTCTAGTTGCAAATTAGGAATTAGAACCAAGAGCTAATCATCATATGCACAGGACAATGTATACACTAACAGAGTTGGATGCATACTACATATGCAATATTTAGATTCTGAATTTAGTTTATACATAATCATCATGCGTTTAAAATCGATAGTACAATCTTTGTATAGAATGTTAATCTATAGACTGAATGCAAATATTGGTAGTATTTGAAGAGGTACATAGCAAAAAATGATCTAATAAATACTAACCCGGCTTGGGATTCCAACAAAGGAAAGAGTAGGAGCAAATTGCGGAGGAAAGACGTGTTTGCATAATGGATCAACACGATTGTCATCAATGGTAATAATCCCCTTTGTGTTTAAGAAAGGGAAATCGTATTTGTAACTGTCAACACAGTTTAATGACCATTAATCCCCACTAATTACAAACACTCTTCAGTCCCCTTCGGCCTAAATAGCAATGATCTCATGTTATTGTGCTAAGTTTTATTTCAAAATTGTACCATTGTGGTGTTCCTGTGTTTATAACAGATTATAGCCCCTCAAATGTGGGGACTTGGTTGGGCCAATACAGATGATGCATGCAGTTGCATGAGATTTGTTGATATATATGTGAATAATGTGTAGTATTTGGTGTAAATTAATACCAAATTATTCTAATTTATATAAAATCTTCAATTCATATATAGAAATTTTGAATTAATCTCATATATGCTGATAGTGTATATACTAGCATGTATGAATAGATACCACATGTGCAAGAATTAAAATTTATATTCAAGTAGGACTAAGTGGCATGCACTCATGATGAATGATGTATATACTGTTAGTATCTACAGGATTAATGTAAAAATTTTTTAATCCAAAACAATATTATACGTTGTTATAAACCAAAAACTGTAGCACATTACAACTGCATGAACAGAGCCAAGACACACCTGTATTGGCTCTAAGCACGAAATGTTGTATCATATCCAGGTTAGGGCCATTGCCAATTTCAAGCTATTATTATGGTTCCAAATATAACGTGTGGGCTTTCTGTTCAATAAGTATTAGAAAATTTTGAAAAAGATAGCAAAGTCCTACTCCCGCGGACTCGAAGTACCATTGGATACGATGGTCTCATTTGTGTTATCCAGTTGATGAGGGAGGAGTTGGATTTCGGAGACTATGGGACGTATACAAAGCTTTTTCATGCAAGCTTTGGTGGAATTTCCGAACAGGATCATCGTTGTGGGCAATGTTCTTGAAAGCAAAGTATTGCAAAAGCCTCCATCCTTGTCAGGTAGAACTCAAATCAACGGACTCGGCAATCTGGCGGAGGATGGTCAACGTCAGTCGACAAGTGGAGCTCTCAATGTTATGGGACGGGTCGTGTCACTTTTGGTACGACAACTGGTTGGGAAGTGGTGCGTTGTTCCTACAAGCACAAGTTATCCCAAATTTGACTTTCCGCAATTTCGTCATCAATGGTCACTGGGATTTGAATTCCTTAGGTCTTACAATACCAAAGGAGAAAATGGCCTCCATTGTGAAACACATACCACCGGAAGAAGGGAGTGAAGTTGAAGTCATTTGGATGCCCACCACATCTGGTAGATTCTCTCTACAATCGGCTTTCGAAGACATCAGGCAGGCCCGCAACAAGTCGATGGTTTTTGCTTCGATTT